TTGCGGGGGCCGTGGGGGAGCCGCGGGGGCCCCGGCGCGGCGCTCGCCCTCCTGCGCGCCCTCCGCACTAGGATGTTGCGGCAGGTCTTGCACAGGGGGCTGGGGACGTCCTTCTCCCGGCTCGGCCACTTCGTCGCCAGCCACCCGGTGTTCTTTGCTTCGGCGCCCGTGCTCATCTCCATCCTGCTGGGCGCCAGCTTCAGCCGCTACCAGGTGGAGGAGAGCGTGGAGCACCTCCTGGCCCCCACCCACAGCCTGGCCAAGATCGAGCGGAACCTGGTGGACAGCCTTTTCCCGGTGAACCGCTCCAAGCACCGGCTCTACTCCGACCTGCAGACGCCGGGGCGCTACGGCCGGGTGATCATCACCTCCTTCCGCAAGGCCAACATGCTGGACCAGCACCACACCGATCTCATCCTCAAGGTAACCGCGGCCCCCGCCGCCTCCCGCAACAGTTGGGAAGCGCGCAGGGGGCACCGCACGGCCGGCCCCGCGCTCCTTCCCTGCGCTCGCGTGTGTTTTATCCGAGTTGGGGCGGCTCGGGAAACTCCGACTCAGCGAGCGGCTGGGAACACGGCGAAGGGCAGCACCGAGCCATCTCCCACAGCGAGCGCTGACAGCATCTATCTGCCCGCGGCGCGGAGCGGGACGTTCCCGCAGCGCGTGCGGGAGCGCTGCGCCGCGGTGTCGGAGCGGGGAGGACGGGAGCGAATGTGTGCCGGGGAGGGTCGAGCTCACCGGGCAGGGCTCGGGTGGTGCGCATAGCCCAGAGGTGTGGCAGGCTCACCCCCGCGTCCGCTCTGTTGCTGTACGGTGTATGGAAAGCCCGGGGGCTCGGTACCGCTTGTCTCCCCTGTGTCGGGCTATCACACCGCGCAGAACCAGGGTAAATTCTGTTCAGCGGCTCCGGGGAGTGTCCCTTCCCTAGCGAGAACATCGGTGCAGATAGCGCGTGTAGGCACTTTGGGGAGATGCGCCCCTCGCTAAGCACGGCAATAACTGTTACAGTGGGCTCGTGGGTGTTTTATTCCAACTGTAGCCATGTAAAGAGCTATAGTGCAGTGCCCCTCCGTGTGCTCCGTTTCCTTTTTTCTCTGTATTGCCCAGTAGCGCTGGACACACCGCGCTGCCGAGTGCAGCCACAGAAATGTATGTCACCGCCGAGTGAGAAAACTCCAGAGGCGGTTTTCATTCCTTCATTTCCTTGTGCCGTGGATTGCATCCGCATCCAGCGCACACAGTTACTCAGTCATAAGGTAATGATGGCAATGGATTTTTTTTCTCTGCGCTGCTGCTTTCTCTGGAGATCTGTGGTTCTATCGATAGCACAGTGGCACACAAATAAATGCTACGCTGAAGCTCTCCACGAGCAAACTTCTGCGTCAGATTTATCATATCAGCCAAAGAGCCATAACTTAGAAAGTTGTCAGCATTTAACGCTGCCTCATTTTTTAACAGACAGAATTTGCCAACAGAATGATTATTTCTTATTTGGTGAGATAATGAACACCATTGCTGTTTGCCTGTTTACTCATACCGTTAATCTGACATTGTCAGGCATCTTTGATGCATTATTTCCAACTCCTTACTTATCTAATTAATCCCAGCTTGCCTTCTGCAGAAAAAATCCCATCACTTGTCCCAGTTGTGTTTTTTGTCTGGTGCAGCCTGAGGTGCCCAGCAGGTCAGCACAGCCATCCGGGAAAGAGAGCTCCTGGCTCCCCATGTCACCGTGCCGGCTGCGACGCAGGGCCATATCGTTCTGTGTCAGCAAGGCTCACCAAGAGGAGGAGGCAGAGAGAGAGGGGCCATCAAAGCTCTCCTACACACGTATCCATATGTGGGGGGCAGAAGGGAGCAAAACCATCTAAAAAAATTCCCTCAGGCCCCAGGGCAAAGCCATGCCCCTCTAGATGCTGCGCATCAGTGTCATCCCACCTGTAAGTGGTATTACACTGCTCACCTCCCCTTTCCTGGGGGAGCGTTGCCTTCCCAAGGAAGAGCTTTTCTGGGCTCCCTTGCCAGGCAGGGAGTGCCTAGCGCTGCTATTGCTGCCCTGGTCTCATGGAGGGGAAAGAGATGTTCTCTGTCTGCGGCAGAGAAAGAAGTGAGCTTCCATTATCATCCCCTTGGTAAAAGGATATGAAGTTTTGGGGTCTGAACAGCTGAAACTTAGTGGTACTGTCAAAAGTTAGTCACTATAATACCCTAATTAATTCATTCATTATTGTGGTAAGTTCTTCGGTGGCTTCTCTGAAGTGCTGTGGTTAGCGCAGTGCAGTTCTGACAGGCATGCTTCAGCCCAAGAAGCTCCAGGTGCCACAGCTACGCAGCACCCTGCCAGCTGGTTGGCTGTGGTGGTGAAGGGACCAGCCCCGTACCCAAACCCCAGGCATGTGCCCCAAACTGGAGCTGACAGCCCGTGTGTGCCAGTTGGCCTCCTTGGGTGTGCTAGCGGCTCCGTGCAAGACTCTGCTCTCATTAGCAGGGAAACATGTGACTGCCTTCTTGTAATAGCTTTGATTAAATTGGGTAAATGTCCATCCATAATTCCCATAACTCTCCCCATAAATGCTTGAACTGTTTTTGTGCCTGCCATCCATCGTGTTTCCAGGTGGTGTGGTCGTCTGTAGAAGAGAGACAGGGGCATTGAACAGATAATCCAACTAAAGCCTCTGGAGAGTCTTGGTGGACAAGAGATGATCCTGAAGCTGAGAGATACTAGAGGGAAGTGATGAAATAGTGCTCTACAGCTGGGCACAAGGTACTAGCTGTCAGTGTGTAGGGCCTCTTTCTTCTTCAAGATTTCACTCTGTCAAAAGAAAGAAAGATTGGAAGCACTGATACCCAACTGAAGAAGTGCTTATCCCTGTATTTCCAAGTATTTGGAGAAACAAAAATAATTTGGATTTTTGGTGTGCATCGTCCTGCAGAAGTTCGGAAGATTGTATCGTTTCAGTACAACTCATAGAAGCCTAGAATCCAGTCTGAAAAGAGTCAAAGAGCAGCCCCCTACCAGGTCATTGCCTTAATTCTACTTGCAGCTAGAAACTTGGCAGGTTCAGGACATGCAGGCTCGCAGGAAATGCGGACCTAACCAGGTGTTTTGAACCCTTGAAAGTACATCCTGACTAAGTCAGGATTTGAGACACCCATCGTTTTGAGCCTCTTCATTCCTCCATATTTACAGTGAGTTAACTGCATTATTCTACAATCTAATTTAGTTTTCTTATGAAAGCTTCCTTTTTTTTTTCCAGAATATCCTGTCTTCCACTTTTATTATTGTTCATTACATTAACACAGTACTTTTCTTTTTTTTTTTTTTTTTTTGCCAGTGACTCTATTTAAGATGCACAGATGAAAAGGAAATGAAAATGTGACATTCCATACTGAAAGGGATTGTATTTACAGTTTGCCTGTATGAAAGTCTGTAGATGAAGGTTTATTTCTTAAAGAAACCTGTCCTGACTACAGAGTTTCAGACTCTGGTTATTGCCTCTTTCCTATGAACTGGCCATCAGTGGGTATAGTTAGCTGGTTAAATACCTAGTGGCACATGCAAGTGAATACTGAAATTAGACATTCACGTACAAGGACACATTTATTTAAGTGCTGCATAACTTGTGATTGTTGCAAAACAAGACAGCTGAACTCTAAATTTTTGCAGACCTCATACTTGTTTGGATTTCTTTTCCTCCCTCTGCCCTTAATTGCTGTGTCTGTGCCCATGTGTGCCTGCACACTCTGTCCACAGCCTGCCCGGATTTCCCCATTTATTTTCTGTGTGTGAGGAAACTCGTGGAGGAAACAGCTATGTTTATGTTCCCATGTTTGTGTTATCTCTAATTGTTTTCAGTACCAACATGGCATGCTGAAGCTATTGTTTCAGTGCTGGCTGTAGCAGAACTGAGGGTTGGGTCTGGTGCAGCTCTGACTAGCGTAAGCACCCAACCCTGCATTTCAAAACTTCGCTACTTCTGAATGCTTGGATGCAGACAGCCAGCTGCAGATCTAGCAATGGATAAGTAGTCTCCACCTTCTCTGCATAGCTCCCGCGCTAACGGCGCTTCTAAAGGAATTGCCAGCAGAACAAATAATGAATTCTGCCACAAAAATTAAAGGATGAAGTCATGTCTTCAGAGCAAGGCTGTAAGATGAGGGGAAGAGTCCTAATACAAGAAAAACAAGGGTGTGAAAGCAGCAGAAGTGCAAGCCTGTTGTCATAGCAGCACAATGCTGCAGGGCTAAAACGTATCTTATGCGAAAACAGATGAGAATTAAGATACACAGGTGAGATCTGGGCGCAGCCAGGGAAGAAGGACGGCCAGCAGCATGCTGCAGACGGGCAGCCGCCAGACATGTGGTCATCACGCCAGGTTCTGCCTCCTGTGGCACAGTGCTTGAGGGGACAGAACCTCTTGGGGGGATGTCATGCTCCAGAGGAGGGCCCAGGGGTCAGGGATGCCACACAACGTGGACACCAAGGCCTGCCCACTGGTGTCCAAGTGGTGTTGCAGGAGTGCAGCTGGCTAATGTGACCATGCAGAGGATTCCTGACTAAGTGACCTGAAAAACAGCCTTGACGTTGGGGTGTGTAGGACAACCCCCTCACTCCTGCTCAGGCAGAGAATCAGGAGCAGATACATTGATGAACATGAAGTAAGAGCCATCTGCCATACCTCAGCTGAGGAGCCCTTCGTGAGGGTGGGCCACTGCATCATCTGCCCCCCAAGAGGTGCTGCAAGGACAGAGAGAAGACAAGCTGATGTGTGATCAGCAGCAAGAGTGAAGTCTTCCTCTCCGTGCCAAACAATGAGAAGTGGATTTCAGAGCCCGTGGCCAGGCTCCACGTAAGGAGCCCACTTGTGCTGCTCACTTGTCACAGCCTCCAGTAGCAGTCTAAAGAATTCCTCTTAGTGAAACAAATCCAGGTAAACTTGCCATGCTGCTGATCAGAATTAAGATCACATTCATTAGGAAAGCTTCTCCACTTCAGAGTAGAAATGTCTTCGCTCGCAATTACCAAGTGGATAGTCAGGAATATGTACATATACGTGTATCTGCCAGCATACACATTTGAGCAACAGCAGTTGCCCCTCAGTTGATGCTTTGTGCTTTGAACAATTTTAGATTTTAATTACATGAAGATTGTTTGGAGAAGATACAATCCAAGTGTTTTAGGCAGCTAGAAAATTAGTTGTAAAAATACATCACTTCCGTAATTATTATCTTAGCATATTTACAGGAAATCTGATGGTAAGACTGCTGGAAAAGGAGTCCAGCTACAATTTCTGATGTGTTCTTCAAGCTGTTAGGATCAGCAAGCCTATTCCCTTGGCAGTGCATGCAGCCCCCATCCTTGGTTAGGAGGTTGCTGGCACCAGCAACCTCTGAAGCCCTGATTTAATTGCTGAAGGCCATGAATTTGTTGACAGATATCACTGGACCCAAGTGCCCAGGCTGGCCCCGAGGCCTGGCCCTTCTTAGAAGTTCCTTGCCTTCCCTGTCCACATTTCCTTCTGGTTAAAATACGTTCCTAGTAGTTTAATTCTGCCTGTGTCTGCACAGTTTTGTCTTCTGTAAAGCTCTGTCAGTCTTTTCTCTCATGTAAACCTTTTGCTTTTTCACTGAGGCGGCCTCTCAAAGTGAATAAAAAAGCACTCTGCAAAGGTAGGACATGACAAAGATTACTGAGATAGTAGAGAAAGTGATGAAATTTATGGCAGTCCAAGAAAAGTTTTTTCCTCTCTTCATTTTCCTTGGCACAAGTACCCCATAAAAATTATCAAGAGTGAGCCAGCTTTGCATGAGAGTGAAGCCTGTATAGAGAACCACTGTTTCAAACCAGAAAGCAGTTCAGAGCTCAAATCAGAGCTGGGATTTTAAGTAGTAATACATAATGAGTTCACTCGTTACTTTATTTCTGAGCCATCTCAGGCCTTCGTCCACACCATGTGATCAGTGAAAACTGAGGTTCTTGAAAAACACCACTTCAGGAGCCACTGATGCTCTAGGAAACCACAGATTTGGTAAAAATGACAAAAAAAAATAATAAGTTGGCAACACCGAAAAAGGTGAAGCTCGTATTTAGTTTTAACCATCAGACAAAGACTGAAGGAATCAAATGTTAGCAAAGGCAATGTAATACGGCATGGCAAAGATCTTACTCCCATGAGTAAAACATGACTCCGTGTGCCAGCTCATTTGCAATAGGGGAAGACATACGTATATCTCACTAGTTTTATCTAGTTGGCCATTCATCAACTATATGTCAAGTAACAAAGCGTGTTCAGGTCCTTATGATGAGTAATATCACCTATAAAACACTGCACAGCACTGCTCCACAGAAAAGCCAGACAAACCTTCTCACAGGCTGTATGACAAGCACAGGCTAGCTATGTGTACCCTTCATGCTGCAGCTGGTGGCAGACTCAGCTCCCAGGGTCAGGCTGTCCTTCCACAAGTGAGAAATGGAATGAGAAACAGAGTAGTAGGGAGCTGGCACAGCTGCCCAGAGAAGCTGTGGTGCCCATCCCTGGAGGTGCTCAAGGCCAGGTTGGATGGGGCCCTGGGCAGCTGAGCTGGTGGGCAGCAGCCCTGCCCACGGCAGGGGTTGGGGCTGGGTGGCTTTGGAGTCCCTTCCAATCTAAGCCATTCTATGATTCTGTGAAGTGGGAGCTTGATGAAGCTGACACATTTACAGGTCTCACCCACAGTCTCCATGCAGGCTGCGTGGAGGTCTGTGGTGAACCCTCTGATAGTCCCTGCCACCCTGGACTGCACAGATGAGGAGCTGGGCCTTCATGGGCTTTCATTAGGCTAGCAGATGGCAAAACATAGCCATAGAGGGTTTCTGGGATCAGAGCATTTTGCAGGTGAATCGGCAGTTTCTGAGCCCTCCCTGCTGTGACAGGATCTGTGTCTTGTAGGAAGGTTCTTATAGTCTGAGCAAGCCATCAAACCCTGGCAGCAGACGCTTGCTTCTGCATTACAAAAAGGACTTCTATGCAAAGTGGTGGAGCTAGAGGTCTTCCTCTTCCCTTCATGTGGCTCCTTGGATCTTCTTCATGGACTGAGGAGAAAAAGCAGTATCCTGGCACCCCACCAGGCCCACAAGCCTCACCTGCTGCTGCTTGCAGGGGGGGATTTGTCTCCCTGTTGGAGCCACCTTTACTCCATTTGAAGTGAGCAGATCAGCAAGCATGGGGCTTAAAGGCCAGGACAAAGGTGTTTCTGTTGAAACATGGAGAGAGAGGGATATAAGTTGTTCTGCTGAGAGATTTAGACTGGATGTAAGGATAAAGTTTTTTACAATAAGGGTAGTGAAGTACTGGCACAGCTTACCCAGAGAGGTGGTGGATGTTCTGTACCTGGAAACACTCAAGGTAAGGCTGAAAAGGGCTCTGAGCTCCCTGACCTAGCTGTAGGTGTCCCTGTTCATTGCAGGGGAGTTGACCTTTAAATGTCCCTTCCAACTCAAACCATTCTATGACTATATGAGTCTATGATTGTATGACTGAGCACTTTCAGCCAAAAGCAGCGCGTGAGGCCGTGGCCAGCAAGCTCCAGCAGTGCTGCACAGCCCTCGTGCTGCAGCACTCCAGCAGCATTCCCAGGAGGAGAGCTGCCTCCCAGGTCACTTGCATTGCTTGCTAACCAAACGGTCTGTGAGTGATGAGCAAGCAGTACGTGTCTCCCTTCAAGGAAAGCTATTCAGGCAGCCTTTGATATTCTTTTAGCTCTCCATCTCTACTAATAGGATCAGCAAGGATAAGAAAACAGTTGGGTAAATGAGAATCTGGTGGATTTATTTAGGATATAGTTCCCTGCTGTTCAGAGCTGAGCATGATGACGTTGTTTCTATCAGGGCAATCCATCCTACTGCTGCTGGCAGACCCAGGCTTCTGGCTGCCCTGTTGCTGTGTCAGGATAGGAGCAGTGTGGGGCCCTGAGCCCAAAATCATTGTGCCCAAGGAGCAACAAGTATTCAGCCTTCCATCGAAGATGTTACAGCAGCTGTGACAGCTGAATTTATTTTATAACCTAAATATTAAAAGAAAGTGGTTCAGATGTAAAAGGAAGCAAATGCAGCAGGGAGGAAGGGTAGGTAAATAGCAGCACACACTGTTTGAAAACTGTGTGACAGTTCCCTTTCTCTGTTTTGTGTGACTTGATGGATCCTTTCTGAAGTAGTTGTACTGTTAATCCAGTACGAGCAGTAAATTCCTTTTGTTGCTCCTAGTTGTCCTCAGCTGCACTTCTCTATATGACATCTGGCTTTACAACTGTTGTCAATGAAATACATACAGCAACTGCCATTGTAAACAAATTAAAATCAGATGTCTGTCTTTGATTCAGTAAGCCAGAGAGCATTTTCCCCAACCATACCTTTGAATTCAATGCTCTAAAACAGCTCTTGAAGAACTTTTCAAAAGCAAGCAGGAAAGATGGGAAGAATTCCCAATGCAGGATCATTTCTCTGGCACTTTCTTGCAAATCTCTTTATTATGGTTTTAGAAGATAGGTTGTGCAAGAACCCCTAATCTGTCACACAGAAAGTTACTTGTTCTCCCACCAAGATGGAGAATTTCTTTCTCACCATGATAAGGTCCTGTGTTCTCCCAGTGCCATGAAAAGGTTCATTAGTTCGGTTCATTTCTCAAATCTGTCTTTCTAATGTCAGTACTGAACTGTTCTTGTGTAGAAAATAAAAACTGCTCAAGTGTGTAAAAAACACACCTCCAAACTGCTGGAGAAACGCTGAGATTATAAGAACTTTGTATTTTTGCAGATATAACATCATATCAACCTGAGGAATGGAGGTGGCTTGATTAAATTTATACTCCATCACAGACAGTACAATGTAACTGTAAAATAATCAGATTGATAGTATCATCCAAATGGCATTGGTTTTATTTTTCTGCAAATAGGTCTGAAATGGCACAGAAATGTCTCTACAACCATTTGAGTTCTACAGGATTTTAGCCCTGAGTATTAGACGTGTCATCTGTTGTCACCAGACAAGTATATGAGCTGTGCTGCTGTGCCATGTGCTATCTGCTGCTTTATAATCAGCATTTCTCTTCAGAAAAAACTAGTTCCATTAGATGTCACTTAATCCCAGCCTCTACTGGGTGCAGCAACCTACTGTCCTCCTTGGGAAACTGTATGCGGTTACAAAACAAGAAATTGTGTCCCCTTAGCCCATCCTTTTTGTCTTGCTCAAAATCTTAAGGCAGAAAGTGGCCATTCCCCTCTCTAGAGACAAGCTGAATGTGGGCTGGCAGCCTCAGGTGATGCCAGCACTGGACAGCAGAAGCAGTGATGTGTGGGGGTCCCAGCATTGAGGTTCAGATGTCCCCACACCCACTGCAGGACAGCAGAGGACACTCAGCCACTGGGGCTCAACTTGGTGGGAGGAGAGGTGGTCCTGGCCTTGGCAGCACCCTTATGGGAGGTATTGGTGTCCTTTGCACAGTGAACACAGCACATCAAGAGTTGCATGGTGACAGTAATGATTCAAGGTATTTCATAAGGAAAATACCCCCAAACCAGCTTGTACTTTGCTGAGACTCCTTACATTAGCAAGCTCAGTGCTCTACTACTGAAAAATACTGCAACCCCACTTGTTAGCGCTCTTCCCTTAATGTCTTTTAGATGTCATGTTTCTTCTGCATTAATTAAAATGGATTTAGAAGGGGTTGTACGATTTTTCTGTACTTTGTCAGAAGAGAGCATAATCTTTCTGCCCTTTCGATGCTCCAAAATAACTGAATGTGCTTTGGATCAGAGCTCATGGAAAATTTCAGCAGGATGCAAAGCGACTTTTAAAGGAGGGCTGCATTAAAAGCTGCCCGAAAGCAAACAATAAGCAGGGATAGCCCACAGGCTCTAAAATGAAGGCTTCCTCTGATAAACAGAGAGGAGAACAGTGGTGACTGTTCTGTGACTTCTTGCTCTCGGGTAGGCAGAGGGATTGATGGGGTCGAGCTGGAGACAAAAAGTGGATGGCTTAACCAGTGCCAGCTCCAGGTGCTGATGATCCTGGCCCTCCTCTGCGGGCTGCATCCCAGCTTCCTCCCGCAGCCTGGGGGTCACCAGCGTGACGACATCCCCTGTGCCAGCCAGGCTGTCCCTGCCATCCTACCTGCCCACGATACCAGCAAGGGACGCAGGAGAGTGATGCTGCTATTTTAATGCATGCTTCTTTTTTGTGCTGAGTTTGCTGTGAGTACCGCAGCCACCAGAACGCTCGCTGCTCTTGTCTGGCTGGAATAGGAGAGGGACGGAGGCTGCGAGCCGCTGTTTTGCTCTGGCTGCTGCCGAGCGGGATGAACTGATGAATAACGTCTGTGATTTCTCTTTCCCTTGTAGTTGCACTCTGCTGTGACCAGGATCCAAGTGCAAAGACCTGGTTTCAATTACACGTTTGCCCATATATGTATCCTGAACAATGACAAGACATGCATAGTGGACGACATAGTGCATGTGCTGGAGGAATTAAAGGCTGCTCGTTCTTCTAATCGAACTAATTTTGCAATCACTTATCCGATTACTCACTTAAAGGATGGCAGGGAAGTGTATAATGGGCATCAACTTGGTGGGGTTACTGTGCACAGCAAAGACCGGGTGAAGTCTGCAGAAGCCATTCAGCTCACCTACTACTTGCAGGCAATCAACTCCTTGAATGACATGGTGGCAGAAAAGTGGGAATCCATTTTTTGTGACACTGTTGAACTTTTCCAGAAATCCAACAGGAAAGTCAAAATGTATCCTTTTACTTCTTCTTCGCTGAAGGAGGATTTCCAGAAGACGAGCAGGGTGTCAGAACGCTACCTGATCACAAGCTTGGTCCTTGTGGTCACCTTGGCCATTCTCTGCTGCTCCATGCAGGATTGTGTCCGCAGCAAACCCTGGCTTGGCCTGCTGGGATTGCTGACCGTGACCCTTGCCACCCTGACTGCAGCCGGGATCATCAATCTCACTGGTGGGAAATACAATTCCACCTTCCTGGGGATCCCCTTCGTCATGTTAGGTAACTATCTCCTACTCTCTCTTTTGTGTGTTTGTGCCTCCCTGACGCCTTTCCCAGCCGGCGGAGAAGCAGCACTGCATGACTCCCAGTATCTGCTCCCTGTAACGCTGCCCCGTGCCAAATCCGCACCGCCTCATTTCCTAAACAGCTTGTGCCGTGCCCGGACGTTGCGATTATTTCTGGGTTTCTGCTGTATGGCGCAGTGCCCACGTGGTGGTGAGGACCAAGTACGTGCTGCTGCCATGCGCGGTGCAAGGAGCCCTGCTGCTGTTGCTCTGTGTTTCAGTGGCCAGCTTTAGGAGACCTGCGTGTGGCTCTCTTGCTGGACTGGCCGTATCGGCTGCCCTGACAAATAAAGGGCGGATGGAGAGCTCGCTCCTTGGCAGAGCAGAGCGGTGGAGGGCAGGAGCTCCTTGTGCGTTGTGCTGCAGCCCCTTGCCGTGCTGCGGGATCTTTTCTGGAGGATGGGGAGGAGGGCAGGAGGAGGACAGGCAGCTCCCAAGCTGCAATCTCATGCCTTTGTGTTGGTGCCAGTGGTTCAGGATGTTTGCCCTCCAACCAGACAGGCAGGGGGTTCCCAAGGGGCAGAAGGGGCTTTGGGGATCTCACAGCCTTTGTGTTTGTGTTTGGTTCATGAGCAGCGTGAAAAGCTCCACGTGCCGTAGGTGTTTAATGTGCCCTCGTTCCCAGCATTGTTCATTGGTGGAGAATAATACATGCATTGATTTGATCACAGCTTTCCCAGCTGAAAATCAGTGCTCAGGAATACTTCAGATTTCAAGAGTAAGAGTGCCTTTGCTGACTTAGCTGCATCATGTGGTGATACATCGCGTTTCAGCACAGCTGTTTTTATACTGAGCGCCAGGTTCCTGTGCCATGCCCGTGCTGTATCTGTGGTATTGTTGCACTTTAATTAAAGACTATGCTTCAGTGCCTCACACTACCAGCTAATGTGCAGAATGTATTTGGTGACAAAGAGAGTTCAGCTGCATTGCATCGGCTGCATTGTGTCACTCCTGTTTTCAGGTGATATCTGTGTAAATTAAACTGCCTCATAATCTAGAGGAGAAACAGCACAAGGAGTCAGAGTTGAAGGCTTTCTGACCCAGATCTTTGTTTTGTTTTATGGGTTCTTATGTTTATGCATGTGTTAGAAAAATCTCTTTCTCAAAGTAAGTAGTCTGTGTAAGCTACGAAAGAGTGGCCATAGCAGGAAAACAGTTTGAAGTACAGCCTCTGAAAGGAAAGTGCCTGGGGAAGGTTACTTTGAAATATGAGATATTACCTCTTTTCAGGGAGCAAGGCTGCTGCTTTCCAGGGCAGCCTTTCAAATCATGAGTTCACTAATAGTGGCTACACTGAGATTTGGAATCCTTAAATATTACAGATCATTATGAAAAATCTGGTTGTGCTTAGTGAGTTTCAGGTGCACAGCTCAGCTCTCACTGTGAGCAAGCCAGGGCAGAGCAGTGTGTTCATGGGAATCTCACATGCTTCCCTGGCTTCATTGAGGTTGGGAGTTTTTAATGAGAACTGCTTTAAAACAGTAATAGCTGGAAAGGCATGACTTTTCTTTCTTTTTTTTTTTTTTTTTTTTTTTGTTATTTTTTTCTGCTGCAGTAAAACAACAAGATTCATCATGAATTTCAAAATGTGCTTCATTCCTATACATCACTTTGCTTGCAGAGGATGGTTTAGCTCAAGGTAGCTGAAGGCTGGAGACACAAACCACTTTCCATTATAGCTGGCTGAACTACTTCCACTTAATTTCAGTGACCATCAGATTAGATCATAGATTAACTGACCTTTAGAAAGCTAAAGGATTTCTGGCTAACAGTGTAGTCCCATAGCTATTACTCATAATCTCATGGCTAAAAGCAGAAATTAGATAGAAAAAATGCTTACGCTGGACACATTTCAGGCAAGGCCCCTCTTCTAGTATAAATCATTAATGAAGTTTCCCTGGTTTGTAGCAGCTGAGGATTTTTAACTTTCCATCAGCACTGTGAGTTGAGGGGGCTCCCCAGACATGGTCTGACCTCTGCTGCAGGACAACATCACGTCTTCCCCAGCTCTGTCTCCTTGGAGCGTTTCCCGCTGTCGCTCACTGTGCCACCTCTGCAGCATTGGCATCACGTCTAACCCGAATTCCCCTTTTGCAGCTCAGCTGCCCTTATTCATCCACAGCATCTGGAAAACCACATATTTTCTTTTTCTTGACATATTTGGGAACACTCCCAGTTGTGCAGTCCTCTTCTGTTCCATCCCGGCTTCCCTCAGGTGGTTCTTCCTGGCCTTACAGCAAACTCATTGCTCTTGGCTGCTCCACATCCTCTGTGGAGTGCGGTGCCTGGAGCTGGGCGCAGGATTTGGGCTGCAGCTTTCAGCACCAAGCAAAGCGAGAGGATTATTTCACACATCTCACATATGGCACTCCTGTTCATATATCCCTACATGACATTCATTTTTTGCAGCAATCTGAAGTGGTTGGCACTCGGTTTGTTGCATGCGGTAATTCACCAGCCATGCATGCTGCTTTCTGCCGTGTTTGCACAGCCGATTGTTCCAGCACGAGGTTTACCCTTGTCCTTGCTGGACGTCTCATTTATGTCACACCACTGCTCCTGTTTGCTAAGTTCACCCTGATGTCATCAGTGCTGTTCCAAGATACGTTCACTGAAGATGGTCGGCAATGTTTTGCAATTACCCACTTTCTCATATTTTCAGGAATTCCTTTCGGAATAGCTCGGGTTGTTTGTCCAGTCATAAGTTTGTGTTAATCATTTAGACAGTATGGCCACAGAACCCTCGGTTCGGTGCGCTCTGTAATGCTCATTTTTACCCATCATGTTTCCCTTAGCATCCCTCAGCACCAGCCATTTCCAAGAACAAGCAATCTGCAGGGAAGGGTGCCAGCCTCTGTGTGTGTTCGTCCTTAACTTCAGCACCACTGGGACAATTACAAGTACTGAAATTAGCACAGCTGAGCAAGCTGCACTCCCAAGCTCTGACAGTGTGAGCAGGCAGAAACATCTTTTGCTTTCCCCACCTGTGAAATACAACATACTACTTTAAACCTCCTGTGCTTTGGATTTAATCACCTTCAGTGTACTGTCTCCTAATTTATTTTCCTCTTTAATTAAGGCAGATTACTCATTGAGTTGTGGTAACGCAAGCACCAATGCCTGCCTGTACCCAGGGCCAATGCCTGTACTGGATTTCTCCTGCAAGGAGGCCAGCAGGCTGCATGCTGCCTGCAGCCTCCCTCTTCTCCAGGGAAGGCTCAGTAGGTCTGGTGGGGATCTTCTCATCAGCTTGGCAGGCTCCCACCATTCATCTGGGCGTATTTAGAGTGAGTGTATGCCTTGCCGATTCCGTGGAGCTGCTGCCACCTGCACTTAGCAGAGTCGTGTAAAGGCAGAGGTACTCACATGCCTGGTTCAGATGGAATACTTGGCTGCAGTAAGTCTGTCCACTTTTGACCCTAAGAATTATATACCAAAAGAACAAATTCTTCCTAATTCAGACGAATTGAAAATAGTCAAGTTGTTGTGCTAGCTGAAAAGCAGAAACAAAATTCTGATTTCCTGCTGCTCGTTCCACTGAAATCTACAGATGTTTGGTCTGGCACAGATGCTAATGTATTCATTGCAAGTTTTCCTTTATGCATTAAATATTGTTTAATAACCGCCAATCCTATAAAAATACCAGTTTCCTCAAAAAAAAAAAAAAAAAGCCACAAAACAAGGCACAGAACAAGCAGCAGGGCTGGCTGAGTGAGATTCTGGCCTGAGTTTCTTACCTCCTGCAGGTGCAGCACAACACTAGACATGGGGGCTCAGAAGCAAACTGCACGCTGCTCTTTGTCCTTAAGGGGATACCCACAGGGGAGGGACACAGCTTTTCCCCGCCACCAGCTGGGTGGCAGGGCTCAGTTCTGTAGAGTGGTTGGTGGTGCCAGGCACTGCCAAATAGGGGAGAGACACAGGGCTGGCTCCACACGCTTATATTTAGCCTCGGGTCTGAGGTGGAACTGGCACGGGAAACCCAGCTAGCAGTTAGGAGAGCAGCTTGAGTTTGAAGCTTTCTGTAAACTGAAGGGGAACAAGCCTGGTGCCAAAGCTAACATAACAGGGAGGGACTCTCTTACTGTATCCCTCACTCCGAGCTCCTGTGTCATGGCACCCACGGCAGCTCCTGCAGTGTGGTTACAGCTTCTGGATACTGGGTTGGAGGGAGCACAGGGGCAGGACTGTTTGCTGAGGGCTTTGCACTGGAGCCGTGGAGATGCTGGAGGCTGGACAGCAAAGGTCAAAGGGAGAAAAGGACTGGAGCAGCCAGTGCGCAGTCCCTGGGGAATGCAAGTGCTGCAGAGCTGGGCCAGATGGGCTCAGGGTCCCTATCAGTTTGCAAGGTACCAGCCTCACTAGGGAGCTGTGACATATGCCAGATTTGTAAGCCCTAAAAGCATTCATTATCTCCCCTATCAAGCACCCATGTGTTTGCTATATTCAATAAAACCAAAGTGTCAACTTTGGTTACATATAAAGATTTACAAAGAGAAAGAAACATCTCCTGAGGTACCCTTCAGTCCACACGTAAAGGTAACAGACACACAAATGTTTGACTTTGTATAACATTTTTCCACCGTTTTCTCTGCTGTCAGCTAATAAAAATGTGAAGTGTACTGAGTCTCTCTTGTCTTTATTCCCTGCACTGAGCTCTCTCACTTCTCTTGCCAACCTAACCCTCCAACCCTGCCTGCTGGGGGAAATCTGCTCTTCTCATCTGGACATCACCCTATGCCCCTCATCCCATTCTCCTCTCCCTCATCTCAGTTGCATTTTGGGGCAGCCCCCGAAGCAGATATCACCCATCTTCTCATTCTGGGTGCAGCACTCTCTTCCCTTATCCCAGCACTGCTCTGAGGGTATTTTGTTCTTCCCCAGCTTTCTTTGTCTTTTTCTCCTTGGCCATAGCTGTATCCACTGCTCCAGCCC